AAACCAGAATTCGAACACTGTCGGTGTTCTTCTCAACGCAGGCAGTGGCATTTTTAATGCTCAAGTTACTTACCCAGCTAATAGCAATCCAACTTCAGTAGTCGTCGTCGATGTCAATAGCGACAATAAACCCGACATTGTAGTTGGAAACTATGGTTCGAACAACGTAGGTGTTCTTCTTAACACAGGCAGTGGCACATTCGCTACTCAAACTACTTACGCAGTTGGTACTAGTCCAACTTCAATTGCTGTCGTCGATGTGAATAGTGACAATAAACCCGATATTATTGTTGCAAACTCTGATTCGAACACCACCAGTGTTCTCTTGCATTGTTAAGACTGATAAATGGCTGATCTTCATTTATTCATTGACATACTATTGCGCTACTAAGTACATTATTCTAAGAAAACATTATACAATATTGGCTAACACTCAGTGTTGCCATTTTTTCTGCTTTTTCTCTGTTGTTTCTGCTTTTTTAAATATTATATCACTTATACTTATAATCAATAATTCTCACCTAAATAATCATTTTTCGAATTCTAAAAACAAAGTTTTACTAATAATCACTCATCACTGTATTGTTCTATATTCAACTTAAACTGTCTACCCACGGAAATTTTTTTGGAAAAAAACCGCTGCTTACAACGGCTACCAGAACCGCGGTTTCGGGTGGTACAATACTGTCGCGAAAGTCAGATCTTTAACGCGTATCTCTAAAACCGTCTGAAGCCGCGGTTTCAAGCTGTTTTAAAGATATGCATTAAACCCATGCGATTGAAACCGCTTCAAAAGCGTCAGTTAACTGCGGTTAACCGCATTTAACTGCATTGCACTGACGGTGATCTATATGGTCTTATCGGTATACTAGAATCGAATCTCACTTGCAGCAAAAATCTTCAATGTAATTTCAGCTTTCTACAAGAATTCATTTAAATCTTAATAAAATCATCTTTAAATACAACAATAAAAGAGCATGTTGAATCATTTTAACAAAAAAATTACCTCTCACTATTTTGCATCACACATATTCAACAAAATCAACTTATTGTGACGCAAGCAAAAACAACGACCGTGGATGACACATTTTCACACAAAAAGAATTACAAATACAAAATTGTGAGTTACAATATAAAATAAGTAAGTACATTTGATTTACTATTCCAATAACGGCTATGCTACAGAATCAAACAATGAAAGAATTTTGAAAATCATAACAAAAACCATGTAACATATATAACAAACAAATGTTTTCGAATAAAGTAAAAATAAATTTGAAACAAAAAATTAAAGTAAATAAAACTGTGTAACAAAAATCCTTTTTTATTCGCAATTGAAACATTATTCATCACAATTTTCTTGTTCTATTACTGCTCCTATAGTCTCAGCTGTTGTATGACTTGCACCACTTCTACTTCTCTTGATTTCGTTGCGTCTCTTTTGAAGAACACATTCATGCAAGGTTGGCCATTCACAATATAATATTTCATAATTCAATTTAAATCTTGATCGAACTGCTTCTAAACATAACCGATTATAAAGAATAATTATAATGAAAAGTTAGTTTTTTACCTTTGATTATCGAATATCGTTCATCCTTCGACAACTACTCTAACGTAATTGTTGTTATTTCTTCTTTCATAAATATATTATCCATCACCAGTGCAACATAACGACCCATTTGAGTTCGAACACCATATGGTTGAAGTAAATCAATAGTTTCTCCTTTTGAATTTACACAAATCTAAATAAAAAACAACAGCAAAGACTTAATAAACAAAACGTATCAACTTTAACTCACCAATGTAGATTTAAATGGTAAATCATTAGCCATAATATTCTCATCACCAAACTGACTACCGTTTAATGTTACATTCATCTTGAAAATATAAATCTTTTTATGAAACAAAAAATATTGTTATAACTGGTTTTACCTTTTTCTTCGATAATGCTCGCTGAATTTTCTCCTGGTTTTCATATAAAATATCAAGTTTTTTATCAATTTTGTCGATTGATACTACCATATTTTTAATATCTTTCGAAGATTGATATGCATCTTTATTTAAATTCTATAAATTCATATGCTATTTTTTTGTAGATAGTATTATAAAACTCTGTGAATAGATCCTATGATTTCATTATCACCTAATTAATTCTGAACTATTAAATAGATCATCATATTTTTATAGCGTCTCTCCTCATTGTTCATCAACTCTCATCTTATTTCGAATTCCGGTTAGAACACAATAGTGTTCTTTCTACAATGATAAATTTTGATAAACAAATTTTCAGCTTGTCATCTTTTTCTATTTTGGAAAAGGATTCTTTGTTTTTCCATACCTACTAAAACTGTACTTATAACTTCGCAATGAAGTTTGCAAAAGTTTTATTTTTCTATATGAAAACATATTACAAATATAGGTTGGTAAAAGCAATAATGATTTCAATTAATTTGAAATGTTATTTTCAAATAATTGTAAATATTTTTGTCTAATACCATCATTCTTCTCCCATTCAAATTGAAATGTATCTTGTTTTGGTAGACGATTTCTAACATAATCTGGTTTTTGACAATATTCTTTTAATTTATTTAATAATTGTGTTTGTGTTCGATATCGATGTTGTTCGTTTGGATAAAGTTCTGTATAAGCTAATCGATCAGGTACAATAGGTATACAACCAGCTCTACAAGCTTCTAACATTGCAACACCAAAAAATTCATGTTGAGCTGTTGATACAACAACATCTCCTTCAATTAATAATTGTTCATATTCAGATTTTGATTGTGCAAAACCCCAATGACGAATATAACTCGATGGTATTTTATTTAAAATTTCTGAAAATATTCCTGGACATTCACCATATGATTGACCAAGAATAATTAAAGAAAATGTTAATGAATATATTTCATGTAGTTCAAGAATAACAGAAAAAAATGTTTCAGGATCTTTATCATGTTCCCAACGATGCGGCCAGACAATACATAATGGTCCTGTTTTATCAGTTTTAATCTTCAAAAGAAAAAAGATTATTTTTTATTTAGATCAAAGAAAATAATATACTTCAATTGGTATTAATGATTTCTCTAATGGATAATATAAAACTTGTGATTTACTCTCGATTGTTTGTCGAATTTGTTGTATGTTTGCCTTAGGTGATGGAATTCGATTCAGGAACGGTCCAAGTTTATCAAGAAATGTATTTAAATTATAAAATGAATTAAATAAACAAATATCAGCAACTAGAGCTGTTAAAATTTGATTATAACCATATTGAAAATCTCGTTGTTCTTGTTTTTCATTTTGTTTTGGATAAGCTAAATCATTTTCATGAAAATATATTATTTTCTTTAATGAACGAAGATCAATACGAAGCGATATTAATTCACTTAGATTAGTTATTGATGAACAAAATAAATATTTCAATGAATTATTTTCATTTTTAGGTATTAAATCTGAAAGAATCAATGATGAACATCTTGCACGCCATGGCCATTTTGTACCTGGTAATGTTACTAAGATTGAACGAGGAGATAACGTACGATGAAGAAGATCTATTAATGAACGATGAGAACCATCATAGAATGCTTCGATTAATAGAATATCACACATCTAGAGAGTGAAAAAATGTATACATACACCTAATCATAATTTATAGTTAGTTGTTAAAGTACAGATCTGCGGGACAGCCCTGAATCCCAAAAAATCTCGTCCCGCGGGACATTCGGAATTGTTGTTGTAATTTTTTATTTATACAAAACAATGAGCATTATTCAGTATTATCTTCGAGAATTCTTTATGTTGAGATATATTTTCGATTTTATCCAGTTGAAATCTATTTAAATTGGATGAATTTCAAAAGATACCCACGCTAAATAGGACAAGAACAGTGGGTACTTATAAAGTTGGGGTTCGATAAGAACTATTATGAGATCTTTGTTTTCGAGAGCAGTTTAATCTGATATCTGAAAGCAACAAGATATATTCTTTTGGGAATAATGGCCATAATTCATCCATTCTTTGGCAATCAGCGAAATTCTGAAACTTTCATTTGTCATCTATTTCTATCAACTCGCAGACATAACCAATCTATCTAAAATTCTTCTATTGATTTCTTAACAGATTATTCATATTTATTTTACAATCTGTTAATATCATTCAAAAATAAAATATTTATAGACCAGTATCAATTTTATTTTACTTAATTACAATTACTATACAAATAAAAGGTAAGAGAATATATTTCTATATATAAAACCGTATATGTTACTCCATATTATTATTATCATCTTCGAAATTATTTGATGGTAATCTTGTTCGTTGAGCATATTCATTATTTGGATTAATGGTAAATGCTGGACTTGATGCTGTTCTTGATCGAGCTAAATTATGTAGAGATGACGATGATGATGAACTTGTTCTTGTTTGTTTATATTTTGAATTTGATTTCATTTTTTGATTTAAAGCTCGTTCTTCATCCATTTCAAGTGATGATTCACTTTCACTTAATTGTCTATAGAGTTGTTCTCGACGATCAACTTCAAGTTGTAATTTTCTTTGTAAACGTAAATTTTCATCTTTAGCATTTTGTTCTTCTAAAAGAATTTCTTGCATTTTTTTCTGATAGTTTTCTTGTTGTACTGATAATTGTTGACGAAGTTCTTCAACTTCACGTTTTAATCGTTGAGCATAATCATTATTTGATGCAAAATGACGATTTGATGAATTTGTTTCAAATAATGAATTTGATCGAATATTTAATCGTTCATTTGTTGTTAAATTAGTTGAAGAAGTTGGATTACTACTCTAAAATACATTAGATTTTATTATATGTTATAGTGACATGATAGACAGACATTTTTGCACGTCGTACTTCTATTGAAATGCTACAATGGTATTTTTTCATGGGTAAAAATTTCATCTCGTCCTCTGGTACAGAACTTTATCTACATTCCTGAGATAATATAATGCCAGAGCTTTGGACTAAACCCTGATCGTATCATTTGATCTTAGTAACCACTGAGTGCAAAACTGACAATACTAAATCATACTCCTAATCAAAGTTTTGCTGTATGATGACTAGAACCTCATGCACATTCTTCGTTTATACATTAATTATCAAATTTAAATATAAATAAATGCTTACTGTATTATATGGATGAGATTGTTGAATTTGTAAGTGAAGTAATTTTTTATCCGTTTCTAATTTTTCCATTCTTTTCCATAGACGATTCACTAAAGATTCTTGTTCTTTTTCTAATGTATTTTCTAATTCAATTTTTTCTCGTTTTAATTGTTCCTAAAAGAAGAAAAAAACAATTCTGATAATGAAAAAGTAAATAATATTTACTAAAGTATTTTGTTTATTAGTAGTTTCAGCTTCTAATCGATTAATTCTTTTCATTAATTGACTGATTTGTGAAGCTTGTTCTCGTTCTAATGATTGTTCTAATGACTGTTTTTCTTCTCGAATTTGTTGTAATTTTTTCGATAAATCATTTGTTAAAAATTCTTCTTCACGTTCATAATTATTTGCTAAAGTTTCTTTTTCTTTTTTTAATTCTTGAATTTTTTTAAAAAGTGTATTCGAAATAAATTCTTCTTCTTGTTCAGTTTTAACTTGCATATTAACACTTGCACTTCAAAACAAAAAAATTATTTATATATAAAAATATTTTTTTGTATCAACAAACTGTTTTAATTGTTTGATTTCTTGTTGTGAAGATTTTAAACGTAATTTAAATGTTTGAACTTCAATATTAAGAACACGATTTTCTTGTGTTAATGAATCAATACGTTTCATTAAATGTTCACAACTTAATTTTGATTCATTATTATTTCTTGTTGAAGAATCAGCTACAGATGAAACATCTGATTCATATTCACTATCATTTATCATCGACTGAATAATACTAAATAAAAAATATAGATTAAATATTTTATTCAAAAAAAAACATTCATATATATTTACTTTTCATTGCTCATGATGAATTGACTAGAAATTTTACAGGAACATGAAATTTTTGCTCAATAGAATGCATGAGATACCGAATGGTTTATAATCCGACATTTATATCTACTTTCATGATTTGGCATACAATCCATTAATGCACTTTGATAGAATTTAGTAAAAATTTAAAAAAAAAATTATTTAAATATAAAATATTGAAATATTTTAAAAAAATGAAAATATTTTTAAACGATATTAGCGACATGGTATTTATTGGATGATGGACACTGCCAGCGTTTTTGTTTTCCTTTGTATTATACGAAATAGAAAATGATTCGTTATAATTTTCAATAGATAATAATAATAATAATCATTACGATAAAAAAACTCACCTTGTTATTCTAGATCATAGCAATACTCTTTATTTATTCTCAATTTAAGCCGCTTTATCAATGTGGACTAATCAATTGAGATCAAGTCTTTTTTTAGTATGAAATTTTGTTTTTTTCTTATTTAAAAATTAAAAAAGATAATTATAGGTTTTCTTTTATTTGACTTACGTGAATGGTGGTGCTATTCAATTAACAAGTAGTAATATTGATTCTGTTCTTTGTAAGTTAAATAATATAAATATAAAATATTTATTCAAAATCCAATTTTGTATTTATTTAGCATCGCATGACGTAGTACTGGTTAATTTTTATGCAAATTGGTGCCGATTTAGTCAAATGCTTGATCCGATCTATAATGAATTAGCTGATAAAGTTGCGAAAGAATTTCCTGTATGAATATTTTTTTCTTCTTCTTTAAAATTTAAAATTTGTTTTTAGCAACATGGTTTAATTGCTATTGGAAAAGTTGATAGTGATGCTGACAATGCTATTGCTGCTAAATATCATGTTAATAAATATCCAACATTAAAATTAATTCGACATGGTCTTTTAACTAAACGAGAATATCGTGGTGCAAGGTTCGTAATTTTTTTTTCCCAGAAAGAAATCTTATTTTATTATTATTCTTTCTAGACAAGTTGATGCATTTATGGATTTTATTCGTAAACAAATTGTAACAGAAATAACAAAATTATCAACACCAAGTGATTTATTTACATTAGATACAAAAAAACGTTATATTGTTGGACATTTTGATGATGAAAATTCGGATAATTATAAAATGTTTATGAAAATAGCTGGTCTTTTACGAGATGAATGTCATTTTGTTGCATCAGTTAATAAGTACGTTTATTCTTTTTCTACAATGAATCATCTTTAAGACTAGTTATGTTGCGCATTTAGGGATGATTTTAAAAACGAACGTCCATTAACAGATGTTATTTATTATCGTCCACCACAAGGATTAAATGAAAAAGATATGTATTATATGGGTGGAATAAATGAACAAGAAGCATTATTAACATGGTCACGTGAAAAATGTATTCCATTAGTTCGTGAAATAACATTTGCTAATGCGGAAGAATTAACTGATGAAGGTTTACCATTTCTTATTCTATTTCATAAATCTGATGATCATGAATCAGTTGTTGCATTTGAACGTGAAGTTGCTAAACAACTTATGAATGAAAGAAGTAAAAATATGATTTTATTGATTTTTATTTTAAATTTATTTATTTATCTTTAGCAAATATTAATTGTTTACATGCTGATGGTGCACAATTTCTTCATCCACTTCAACATTTAGGAAAATCAATGAATGATTTACCTTTAATCGCAATTGATAGTTTTAAACATATGTTTCTTTTTCCTGATATCAATGAAATGTCGTAAGATTCGATTAAGAGACGAACAAACAAATGAATTCATTGAACCTTTTTTTTTGTTTATAGAAAAGATGGAAAGTTATTACAATTTGTTAAAGATCTTCATTCAGAAAAACTTCATCGTGATTTTCATAATCCACCACCAGCAACTCAACCAACAACAACAACTACAATATCACCAAATGCGGTAGGATGAGTTACATTTTTCTCTTATTATTCGTTTTTTCTTCTTCATGTATAAAAAGATATTCTAATCTATCGTTTTTCTCATTTAGGATGGTAGTGAATCAAAAAGTAAACATATTCCAAAGACATCTTCAACCGCTAATGTTGATCAACCAGCAAATAATGCCAAACAATTTTTAAATCCTGGTTCTCATTCATCAGCACCACCTGAATCAGTTTTTATTCATTTATCACCAAATCGTCAACGTTATTCATTTCGTGATGAACTATAAAACAAACATTTTATTTGATTGAATCTCGATTTCCATTCTTTTTATCGGTTCTTTTCTGTTAAATTCGCTAATCAAAACAATGTTTCTTCTTTACTTTTTTTTTCTTTTTTTTTCTTTCTTCTTTTCATATCTATTTATTCGACATACTAAAAAACTAAATCAAGCGGAATAGACGAGAATTTCTGTGTGGTGTTTGAATCAATTTAAGTGATAATAGAATATTTTGTTATAGATATATATACAATGATGCGTCGACATCGTCAAATAGCTTTACTTGGATATCCCGGTGTTGGTAAATCATCCATTGCTCATCATTTTGTTTATCAAGAAATAAGTAATGAATATGATCCAAATATAAAAACGAGTAAGAAAAATTTTCTAAATTATTATAAAAAGAAAATGAAATTATCTTTTTAGAACTTTCACATCAATGTACAATTGCAGATGAACACTATGATTTATTGATTGTTGATAATGCTGGATTAGATCAATATACAATAAGTCATAGTGAATTTGATAATAGTGATGCTTATATTCTTGTCTATGCTATTGATGATCGACCGAGGTTAGTTATTGGTTAATTTTTTTATTGAAAATTTTTATTTTGTTATATTTAGTTTTGAAATGGTATCGAAAATTAGAGATAAAATCATTTCAACGAGTGCTATCGTTCGGTAAGAAATATTTCAATAGAAAAATAAGTTTAACTTTATTTTTGTTCTCTATTAGAATACCAATGGTGCTTGTGGGAAATAAAATTGATCGAAAAGATGAACGGTATGAATTGAAATTTAAAGATAATCGATATAGATAAAAATCACACGAGTCATTGTATTTATTCTCTTTCTCGTAGAGAAGAGTCCAGTAAACATAAGTTGTCTGATTGCTTGATTGTGTGTCCGCAGGGTCAAAAAAACATCGAAGATCGTTTTTTTCACGGTTTTCAATTGTTTTTATAAATAACATATGCGAAGCCGACACAAATAATTCTATCTTATCTAAGGCAAATATTTTCCGTTAATTCACTCGTCATAGAAGTAATGAAGAGCGTTTGTTCAAAGCTATTTATCTAACACTCTAAAGAACTTTACCGATTAAGAATATTTTAATATTTAGACGTGTTTCAACGGAAGAAGGTCGATCATTAGCTCGTGCATGGAATGTTCATTTCATTGAAGCATCCGCTAAAGATTTCGAAGTAAAATTTGATTATCTTTTTGTTTTTCGTATAAATAAATTCTTTAATTTAATAGAGTGTAAGAAAAATGTTTGAAAAAAGTATTCAATCAATGAATAATATTGATCCAATAGACAATAATCAGGAAGAAAATTCAACAAAAACACATTCAAATGAAGTAAATTCTTCAGCGTCACGGAATGGTTTCAATAGAAAATCAAATGGAAGTATACCATCGAAAGAACAATCAACAAATACAAAATGTACTCTTTCTTAAACTTTACCGTTTTTTTTTCTTCTTCTTCTTTTTATGTAAATACATTCTTGTCTCTGTACATTGTTTTCTATATATTCACGAGAGTTTTTGTTTGTTACCTTATTGAAAATCATTTTTGCAAAGAAAGAAAAGTTTATAATATCAGCCTTTGGAATTCATTTAAATAGAAATGATAATTAAAGATTATTTGAGAAAACATTTTCAATAGAAATTGATTATTTGATATTTGGTTTTTACATGATCATTTATTTTAATAATGAATAAAATTTATTACTTGATTAAAATATTTATATTAACAGACAGATCTCGATGATTCAATGCATTTCAACAAGCAGACGTTGATTCTGACTTGAACGAAAAATTATTTGATAGTTTAGTCAAGAGCTGAACATTAAAAATCACATAGATCTAAATAATGAGAAAAGATCCTCAGAATATTAGATCAATTTTCAATTGAAATTTATTGTATCGCATAGCTTTTAGTGGATTATATATGGATTAATGGTGATGCATCAAAAAACATATCAAGTATTCTCTTGTTTTTTGGATCTTGTAAAATCTCACTCTAAAATAATATATAATTATACCCAAAATACTATGATAAATTATTGTAAATGATATATTTTATTTGAAATGTATAGTTGAGTTTTAGCTACATATGAGCAAAATAAAAAATACATAGTTTATGGTTGAAAGCGTAAAAATTAAACTTTTATGCAAATGGAAAGTAATAGTTTCATCTGTGAAGAACATGTTCTGGATTATTATTAATAAGACTTGATCGTAATTTATATATAATGAAATAAAATTAAAAACTAATACTTATTTGTTAATAAAATAACAAGAGAAGTTGAACAGGTGACAAATATTTCTTTGTAACTTCTAGAGAGTTTCTCAATGAAATTAATTCAACTAGTAAAAGATCAAATATTACTCTTATTAACAAAGAAGAAATATTCTAAACTCTTCTTCTTTTACTACACATATTATATAAATATATATATAATACCACTTGTATTTCAATGATTTTACTAGATTTATTGTTCTTATCTAAATAAGAATCACTCACAATATTATTGTAAATACTATTTGTTTGATTTTGTCATAATTTCTATCAACAAAATTTAATGTAGGAATTGGTAAATGACCTCAGATCTTTATCAGTAAATTAATTCTTATTGTAAATGAACAAGATCATAAATTCTATTCATTACTTATTTGTATTTACATTCCAAATCAACATCTTTTAAAAACACTCATAAAATACATAAACATCTTTGATTTTATTCTTTTTATATGTTCATAAGTTAAGATTCTTTCTCTATACATCGATAAAATGATAAAAACATTTTAAACAACGTTTACAACAAACAATGATCGCTCTTTTTCAATAAATTATTTATATATATTTTTATTTTTTAAATTGTCTTTTTTAGATTTTAGTTACACATTTTATCATCATATTCATTTCTCAATATTTACGATTCATATAATATATTTTACACAATTATAAAATAAACTGATAACAAATGAATGTTCATCATTAGGAGATTATTTCTCGCTGTTTTTTTTATGAAATAAACTTTCATCTTACTAATTATGAATGAGCCTACTGAACTATTATTTTCTTTAAGATAAGTGTTTTGCTGTTTCCTGAAAAAGCAAGAAATATATTCCTTTTCTAGGAACTACTATTACTAATAGTAACTAAACTAATATCATATTTGATAATTTTATTTGAAATATTTTTACTCTACGCAAGAATAATTTTTTACAAAAAATAACAGTCACATGAAAAATAAAGATATAACGGTGTTGAAAAGAGCATTTAAATAATAACTGAATCTCTTATTTACCTTCGAACAGTTATGTATAATAAATAAATTCTTATAATAAAATGAACAAGTAAATATGAATCTGTTCCAGAGATGCTTTCTTTTACTTTCGTTAATCAAAACAAGATCACATAACTGATAATATTTTAAACTTCAATTGAAGAAATATTACAATTTTAGGTGTGATCAAAAAACAAAAGAAAAGAGTACTGGATCAGAATGAAAATTATAGAAATAGAAAAGTTTTTTCTCTGCAAAACAGACATTTACAAAATAAACATTTCAATGCATTCAAATGAATAAACAATTCAAAATAAAAGAAATGCATTTTTGATTTCAAGGACACAAACAAGTGTTGAGAGAAACAGTTTTAGGCTCTTTTAACTAAAAGAAAAATGCGGGAACTAATGGGAAAAAAAAGAGTAAAGAAAAATTATTTATTACTGCACATACTTTATTTTTTCATTTATCACACAAAAAATAATGCGATCAATCATTGCCTTGTTTTTCATTATATCTCTTTCGTCTGTAAAAGGTTTGTTACATTGTCTTTTTTCATTTGACTCTATATCACAATATAAATGAATTCTATAGGACAGACTACACAACTACCTAATTATTCTTGTACTGAAAATGATGTTTCTATTCAGTTTACATTATCTTCATCATCTCATTCAGCATGGAATCCAACATCAAGTTGTTCTTTACAACAATGTAATACAAGTTTGAATGGTAACGATGATTGTCGTTCATCATCAACACCTTGTTTTGATTATCGAACAATAAATAATATTAGTTATTGTGCACCTGGTATTTTATGTTCAATATTAGAAAGATGTGATAATATTACACAAACATGTTTATCAAATAATTCAGTGTGTGTTATTAATTCATGTTGTTCACCGCAAGCAGTATGTTTACCATTCTTAGCAACACAAATATGTGAAAGAGGTATTAATATGTATTATTTATATTTTAGACTTTATCACACTCAACTAGAACAATTCATTTTAGTCGTATTTGTAGATAAAGTATCATTCATTTGTATAAAACCTCTGTCGAGTGATACTTGAGGGTGGGTGGCTACTAATAGGATAGATAGTCTAAGATAGATATGTGATATTCATTATTAACTAACAAGAGAAACATAAGAGCGATGAAGAAGTAAAGTATGTTAAAGTGTTCAGTTTAGTTATTGAATGAGACACTGATACAATTTCATATATCATTTTGTTAGCACAATAAGGAATTATCGTTTTATAATAATTTAATGCTACTCATTTTTTGTGTTGTTTAAGCCGGGATATTTTGTCCATAGAACAAACTTTTCTGTTTACATCTGTTGCATTAGATAGCAGAATAATATGAATGAATAGATTGAAATATACAAGTCGTTATGATAGATTATCTCATGTACAATTTGTATTTTGCCGAATTTTATATTTTTAATTATTCCTCTCTTTTTTGCTGCTGTTATTGTCCTAATAATACGGATTTATAATTATGTTAGGTGTAGTTTAAGAGATATTGTTGACTATCAATATTAAACTTATTGTAAAATAGATGAACCATCTAAGATCAAATTTAGGAACAGAATACATGTGAAGATGAATCAATTTTGAGAAAGAGACTCTAGCTTTCATACTCTTCCATCAGTAGCTATGCCATTAATTGTCCTGTCTTGATTGATGAGCTGATCGAGTGAACTATACAATTAGACATTAAATAATGTCTTTATTTTTGGATTAATCTTTTATCTCATGTTTAGAATATTTATATAGGTTTGTTTTTTTCTATGATAGTGCTCATTAATAAACAGGTGTGAATAGTAGATTGATAAAAAATTGTTGTTTTGTCAATCAATTTAAGTGGAGCAGTTGATTAGATATAAAATATGATTGAGAATATAGTCAAAAGAAACTGAATGGGTGATTTTATGTAAACTAATGAAGAATTAACAGTGATTTGATAGTGAATTATCAGAGACTTCGAGATTAATCACTCATTTTCTCACTAGTTCATGTGTTATATAAGTTTCAATGGTGAGTGCTATATAGTCTTTTGCATACCTTTGTATAGATTATTGAAAAGAAAATATAATGAATAATTCAGTATTTTGATTGTGATATTCAGAGAACTATGAAGGACTTAATGAGAAGTCCATACTTTTCATTCTATTGAATATCCTTCGAGCATAACTTGTAAAATTGATAGAGAATCCGAAAACACATGAGTCAGTATAATTATCAGAGTGGACAGTTTGAGAGAAACATGTTTTATATATTTGATCGAGATAAGAGAGGAAATATTTAGAAAATCTAGAAAACTGAAGATTGTGATAATGATATGTGAAAAAAATTTGTATAATACATCTCACTACTATTCTCGGTCTACATAAGTTTGAGGTGATATAAAAGAGACATATCAAAGACTATCGTTTTTAAAATAATGAAAAATGCTGTAGAAGAATAATGAATGTTGGTTGTTTGATTATATTATGTTATATAGTATAAATATATAAAAATGTAACTTCTAGGATGGTTTTCTACTGGTAATATGGCTAATGCACGATATGCTCACACAGCATCTGTATTATCAAATGGACTAGTATTAGTTACTGGTGGTACACTCGATAGTATTTATGTTTATTTAAATAGTGCTGAACTATATAATCTATCAACAGGTACTTGGACAATTACTAGTAGCTTGTATAATGAACGAGCTGCTCATACAGCATCTGTATTATCAAATGGAAAAATATTAGTTACTGGCGGAGCGAGTTTTAATACTTATTTAAATAGTGCTGAGCTGTATGATCCATTAACAAGTGCTTGGACAACTACAGGTGGCATGACTAATGCACGAGCTAATCACGCAGCATCTTTGTTATTAAATGGAAAAGTATTAGTTACTGGTGGATATAATGGTTATTTAAATAGTGCTGAACTGTATGATCCATCAACAGGTACTTGGACAACCACTGGTAACATGACTAATGCACGATATAATCACAAAGCTTCTGTATTATCAAATGGAAAAATATTAGTTACCGGCGGAGAGAATTCTAATGGTTATTTAAATAGTGCTGAGCTGTATGATCCATCAACAGGTACTTGGACAACTACTACTAATATGACTAATGCACGAGAAGGTCATACAGCATCTGTATTATCAAATGGAAAAGTATTAGTTACTGGTGGATTCGGCAGTAGTATTTTAAATAGTGCTGAACTGTATGATCCATCAACAGGTATTTGGACAACTACTACTAATATGACTATTGGACGATTTGGTCACACAGCATCTATATTATCGAATGGAAAAGTATTAGTCACTGGTGGATTAGACAATGGTTATTTAAATAGTGCTGAGCTGTATGATCCATCAACAGATATTTGGACAACTACTAGTAATATGACTATTGGACGAAGTGCTCACACAGCATCTATATTATCAAATGGAAAAGTATTAGTTACTGGTGGAGGTGGTAATAATGGTACTTTAAATAGTGCAGAATTATATTAATGACTTCAAACAAATTAACTTTTAGTTGTCTATATTCTTTTTCTTGGAAGTAGTTCAGATTTCGCACAATACTTTACTTAGAAGAAGTCTTGACGTCCGCGAACTGTTTCGTTCCATAATTTTACTGAATTATCATTTACTTTAATATTCGACCCCAAATAAAAAAGAATGTTTGTTTTTTTTCTCTTGTAGATTAATTTATTATGACTAACAAAACTTACAAGTGATACGATAGTTTTAATTATTCTTTCAAATACCTTCTGTTAATCTTACAATGTTGTTTTTCATAATATTTAATTATTTTGATAGTGTCCATCAGATTTAGAATTTTATGATTATCGAAACATTTTGCTTACAAAAAGCGTTTGAGGTAAGTACATGAATGTTACAGATGAGTATAACTGTAATGAACAATAACAGCTAGTCTAAGGGACAATCAATAATCATATCCGACGTAAGACGAAATGGGAATGAGAACATGAACATTGACAAGCTAAGCAAAATACTGGTATCCAACTTCTCTTATTTTTACGGTAATATGCATTTTAACGAAAGAGAATAGACAATGATATGATTTCTACATCATACTTCTTTCTGATCAGTAATTATCTCCTTGTGAGTCTTAAACTAATTGATTCAAACTACTCCAGTAAAAATCAACTTAATTAATATAGAATATCTATCGAGAAGTTCTCTTAAAATATCAAGACAAAACTATACACGGAGCTATGTTTTCTTGATCGTATTAATGCATTCTACAAAATATGAAATTGTTCAGCTTTCACTTAAGATCATAATCTAGATCTTTCAGTTAAAACATCTTATGGATTCATGTCTATGTTAGCAAAGATATTTCCATATTTTATTGTTTGTGAATAGTTCATCTCATTTCATTATCAAGTAGTATAGCGAAATAAATAATAGTAGATTTAGTAAAATATTTGTTTTATTTGTAATACAACTGAATGTTTGTATATTCTACTTTATCGTCATAGTTAATATGTATAAATACATTTGTGAACTACAGTATCGTTCTCACAGATCTTATGTCATTTACAGAGTTATTATTAACATACAAGCTCTCACAATTAAGTGCATGCGATTGTTAGTATGCTTCATCCAAATAGCTGTCGATGTGTACGATAGAAATCTCTTACGAAGTGTTTCGAACGATATTTAGATCTAGACTGGAAAATTCTTAAAACTTAGCTAGATATAGTCACCAAACACTTGATTGTCGTTAATGTTAAAATAATTCTTCCAATGTACTAAATTATATTAATATGAACACCTGTGAAATCAATAAGCAGTAGCAAGACAGTAATATTTTGTCTGTTAAGAATATTTGATTGATTAAAAGTCATAATTCATTGAAAGAGAAAAAAAGGAGCCTATCACTTTATTCATCATTTTCTATACATGCATAAACCAAAAAAAAAGAAATTAAATTCCATTAATAACCACAAAAAACAAAACATTAAATTCCATATATAACAACTATTTTAGATATACATATATATATTTAAACATGTACACTTGTGTATTGACCTTTATAATTCAATATCAATACTGATCGTGGTCCAATATCACCTACTGGACAATCAACACCTACAAAATATATACATATATATATAACTTCTATTTTCATTCTAGTAATAACTTACATGTAATCTTATCAATTGTTAAAGACCAAGTTTTCTTTCGATAAGACATTACGAACTATATTATCATTTAGAGAAAATACTTTATTCATTATCAAATAATCATAACTTACTTCATGTCCTTCTCGATAATTAAATCTACCATCATATACACGTAAAAATTCTATTCCTAAATCATGCATTTTTATTGCGTCTCTTCCTTTAATGACATCAACGATTTTTTCAAATGTTTTTTTCCTATAGAAAAAAAATAAAATAAAAGTTTTAGTATTTATTTTTCATTCTATTCTTACTTTCGTTGAACATGTAAAAGAATTGATTCGATAACTCGACGTCGACGAACAGGCGCTGTTGGTGGTGGAACAAATCTATAAAAAATTCAATAACTATTATATAAAAGAGAACACAAGTATACATGTAGAACTTACGAAGCATATCGAACACTACTTTGTGTACTACATGCACTATTTTGTCGACTTCGACGTGGTGCAACTGGTGGTGGAGCTAAACCACTAAATTTAGAACGTGAACCACTTATAAATGAATGTAAACCATAATCAACAACATCTTCCGGAATAGTTAATGATGATAATTCAATATGTTCTTCTTTTGAAATTGATGGTAATTTATTTTGATATAAATGTTGTTCTAAATCTAAAAATAAAAGAATTATTTTATCTTATTTCTTTCTTTAAATTTTATCAAACCAAAAAATTGTTGATCTAATCGTTTAATTATAAGTTCAATTTGTTCATTAAGTTTTAAAGTTTGAATATCATTAAATAGAATATTTGATAATTCTTCAGGAAATATTTTCCAGCATCCAATTGCAATATCATATTCAAGTTTAACTCGATGTGTATCATAATGATAAATACAATTATAACCAATAACATGTTCTTGTTCATCATCTCGATTTTCTACGATAATTGCCATAGAAAAATGTGTATTATTTTCATCATATTTTCGTAAACAATCATAATCAACATTTGGATCAACTAAAAATTAGAATTTTTATTGAAAATATTCAAAAAACTGACATACATTGTTCAAAAGTTTCTTCAAACATATTTACAAGAGGATAGATTTCGTTTTGTTGCTTGATTGTTAATGCTTCCATCGTTAGATTGAAAAACGGAGAAAGAGAAAGAATGTCAAAATGAATAAACTATCGTATGTACGTACATGCCGGTCGTCGACCTTCTTTCTCATACAGCAATGAATTTTTATCTTTTCTTCTTCCTCTCTCTCTCTCTCCTTCGTTTACACTTTAAAATACGAAGAAATGGAATGCATGGTTGTCAACAATGAAAGTATACATACGATGAATAATGATGATGGAAGAAAAAAAATACAGTTCCTTGCCGTTTGTTAAATACTCGTTATCTAAAACTCCTGAAATATGAAATTTTTGATTGAAAATCGCATTTATTTGCTGAGTAAGAGCAATTTTATTATTATCAATAATTCGAATGTATCTATTTATTGAAAGTTGACAATGATGTATGATGTCGAAAATGAACTTTGTCTCTTTTATATTGAAGAGGATATTTTTCGAAGGGCGAAACCATATAATTGATATTTAGTGCCATTCAAATTAACTTCGTATTCATGTGTGAATTCTATAGTTCATCTGTCTTCCTAGATAAACAATACTCAGAGTAATGTTTTCTATTATAGCTAAAAGGCGATCATCTGTTCGATATGAAAAATGGAAGATACGATGCTAAATCTAAACTTAGATCAGTTAGTCAATATATTGTTTTTAAAAATCTAATAGTCACATTATTCTACATAAACAAATTAATAGGGAAAGCAATTTCTCATAATTACATAGAAAAACATTCAATTACTTAAAGGAATTGTTCGTTTGAATGAAGTCTCTCCTCTTTTATTCAAAAAATATAATCGAGAGCAATTGAATAGAACTCTATAAACTGACAAATAGAATTACCCATGTAAAGAAAATCTGATTTATTTTCGAAAAACGGTTTAATCCCGATTTTACGCCGATTATTTCCGGGATCAATAAAATTGTTACGATTTTCATGACAAGCTCCTCTATACATACGAGAATTTTATATTTAACATATTCAAATGAATTTTGATTGTGAGTATGCAAAATTGATTCAATTCTTTTTATTGTATACAAACTGGTGCTGTTCTATATTATTTTATTCAAGCATATTCTTATGTAAAATTGTTGCGTATACACAATTGATTAAATATATTATGTTCACTCGTAGAACCTTTTTTATTGAGGAAAATCAATATTTTGTTTTCGTCAAAATGCGTCTCCTATTGTTGTTTGCTTTTCTTCACCATACGTGGAAAGAAAGACTCAATAATTAAAATTATTTTCTTTTTAACGGGTAAGTTTCACTTGAAATAAAGAAAAGGAAATTAAAAAAAATAAAAATGTTCCATACCAACTATCAGGACAAAAAAAATTTTTTTTTTTCTCTCTTCCGACAATTGACGTTATTATCAATATTAGATGTAACAATAACACGTTGGTAACCAGAAGACTGAAAAGGAAAATGAGTAAAATAACAAATAAATTAAACTTATATAATTTACGTACAAAATAAGTAAGTCTTTTTTTTTAACTTAATTCGAGAAGAAGATTTACAATAAACATATTTCATGATAAACAGATCGAGAAGTGAAACAAAATGTAATTTCATATTTAATCGCCATGGCATATACGCGTCTTTGTATTAAATTAATCCAATTCTGCGTGGGTTAGACGAACTTTCTTAAATGTCATCATATTATTTAATTATTTACATAGTACTTCAATAGTTGAAAAGATATATTTTCTGATATGGTTAATTAGACTTGAATAAATATTATTCGATATATAAACAAATATAAAAGAATAGAATACGAGCATACATTAGAACATATGCGATCTTTTGTTTATTTCTTAAACTAGTATCTTATTTTAAGATAAAAACATTTCCTATAATAAATTTTACCCATTTTCTCTATTAACATTAGTTTCTTTTACTTTTTGCATCACTAAGGTTACATATCATGTTGACGGAAATTTGAGTTTGATACGGAACAAAAAAGAATAGTCATACTCCTAATATAAGCCAAGCGAATTAAATCTTCTAGTATAGGAAACACGATGAATCATAGAAACTATGAAGTATGACAGGTCATGCAAATTTTTAATTATTTCAATAGTTTTTCTTGAATATACCATTGATATATTAGAAAAAATATTGAATAGTTAGTATAAAGTATGACCTGTATTAATTATTTAAATCTTTTTCGCTGCTTTTAAAGTATTATTTTAAGTAAAAAATCACGCCGAAGGCACATTGGAAAAAATACAGATAGATAATTTTTAATTCGGCGAAGGTTACGTTAACATGTCATGATTTTCTAATATTTTTTATTTTCTAGAGTATGCAACTCGAAGAACAAAGCATTACTGGATCTCCCGCACCAATTCCTAATATTTCAGTAAATGGAGAAGATATGATTAAATCATATGAAAATGAAACCGTACAAATAAAACCAAGTAAATGGGCCAAAGTAAAAGCTGTCAATCGTCGTATTGTACCCAGTCAAACACAAGGAGAAGTTAGATTAAGTAGTATTCTTGATGATCTTCGAAAATTTGAAATAGAAGCACAAAAAATACCTCGTCCAGATGAACAAAGAAGAAAAAAAAATCTATGTCATTATATAAGATTATCTCGATATCATATAGCACAATTTCTTCAAAAACCATTATATAATTATATTATTATATTATTAGTTATGACAGATCTAATCGTAGTTTTAGTTGATTTAGTTCTCGGTAGGTTAAATTCAATAATAATAATAATAATAAAATCGTTATTCTATTTAATTTAGCTCAATTATCATCACCTTGTTTATCGGAAGATGAAATGATAGAGTATAATACAACTGAACAACCTGATGCATGTTTAATTGAACATTCTATTCATTTAACCCGTACTGAAGCATTTCTTTTTTGGTTTTCAGTTTTATTACTGACTTTATTTGTTTTCGAAGTTTTCACTTCATTTTTTGCATTGGGTTGGAGATATTATAAAAATCCATTATTTTTAATTGATAGTATTATTGTATGTGCATCTTTTATTCTGGAAATATATTTTCATTTTGGAAATATTGGACGCGCTGGACGTGCTGCTGCTGCAATTGTTATTTTACGTTTATGGAAAATAATTCGAGCTATTCATGCTGTTGCACATTCAATTACAGTTAAAAATCGTTTATTAATTAAAAAAATTCATGAAGCTAAAGTATTATTAGAAGAAGAAAAACAACAAACGGAAAAAGCATTAGAAAAACAAGAAATTAGATTGGAATATTTGATTAATATTTTAACTACAATAGGTAAACTACCTGCACCACAATTAATTGAGAATTATGTCAATGAAGTATGGGGACAAAAGCATGAACCACAATAATTGTGATAGTTAATTGTTTAACATCTGTAAATGACGTTATTCTTTATTAGTAATCATGACTGTGAAATTTTAAAACGATTCGATCTAATTACTAAATTTTGTTATATTTTTATAAATATATCAAGGATATACAAATGATCCTTTTTAGTAATTTCGTGATTTTACTATGATATTACATCTTCGATATTTGTTGTTTTCTATTGTATGTATGTTAATTTATAAAGATCTGACAAAAATCAGAAAGATGGATGCCTTTATATAACTATATCTCATTCACTAATAGCTATACCTTTCATTGACAACAACGAACAATATTGTCTGTCATAGCAGCATACAACACATAATCAGTATATCAAAAGTCATGAAACATTTTTCACAATTTCAGCTGATTCATCTGTCGATGAATTACATAATTAATTCGATATTTTTCTTTACAGTGTGTTTTTCTCTTAAGAGTTGCTTAGCAACTATTTTGTAATTCAATGAACTTAAAATACCGAGGAAATGAATTTATTTAATATCTTTAATTGAATTCTGTTTTAATAATAAATCGATATAAGCACATTTAATATGATTTTTTTCTTCAATGCCTATTTTTTCACATAAATCTTTTGCAATTTCTTGTCCTTGTTCAATTGTTTGATTATCTTGTAGAACAACTTCAAGTTCAATAAATAGTGTGGGTTCTAAACCTTTAACTTGATCAATATGTATACGTGTTTGTCCATGTTTTGTTAAAAATAATGTTCGAGTTTTATTGATTTGTCCACGAATACGGTATCCGTCAAGAATGTCCTTTAGAAAATGTCCTGGACGAAATGTCCTACAGTTTTGGTCCTTTAGAAAATGTCCGGTGTTATAAATGTCATCTCTACAAAAAGTCCTTTAGAAATAGTCTTTTGACATATAGTCCTACGAGAAAATGTCCTCCATTATTAAAATGTCCTTTGGCTATAAAATAAAAAACTAGTCGGTAAGTAATGTGAATCATATATTTGTATTACTATGACGAGTTAGGCTGGGTATGGGTGTGGGTGTGGATGAGGGTGGGCGGGTGTGGGTGAGAGTGGGTGGGTGTGGGTGTAGATGTGGGTGAGGGTGGGTGGATGTAGGTGAGGGTGGGTGGATGTGGGTGAGGGTGGGTGGATGTGGGTGTGGGTGAGGGCGTGGGTATTGAAAGAGTAAAGTACCCACCCACACCCTTTTCTTTTCTTCTACTCATTGTATATAAAAGTAAATCCTCTATTCGACTTACTTAGAACACTATGAATTTTAGTTAAATTACAGCGTCATCTATGTTTTAGATACACTTCATTCGAAATTCTCTTATTTAAATATAAAGGACATTTTTCAATGCCGGACCAATTCTTAGAAGACATTTTGTCCAAAGACATTTAGTTCGGGGACGTTTTCTAAAGGACAATATCTAAAGAACATTTTCTGAAAGGACCAAAACTGTAGGACATTTCGTCCAGGACATTTTCTAAAGGACATTCCTGACATGATTCACGAATACCACCCATCGATAATGATAAAACATTCTGAAAAAGACAAAAGAAAAAAGAAAGTTTTTATTTTTTTTTATCACATTGTTTTTCTAAATATTTCCATCGTTGTTTAATATTTTCATTAAGATAATATGGTTGTTTAAATGATCTTTGACTTCCTCCAAATCTTAATTGCCCTGATTCTTTTTTTCCTCCTAATCCACCTCCACATCGTCTTGGTTTCCAACCAGTAAGTTTTTTTGATGCAACATCTTCTATTAACAATAAATGTCCATTAAATTTATATTCTTTTTTTCTATCAATTTGTCCAGTAAGAAATGCATAACCTTTCGATTCTCGTGTAACAATATCTCGAATAAGATCAATATGAGTTGCCGTAGGAAATATTTGTTTTAAATCATCTTCAGTACATGATGGTGGAATATGTCCAATAAATAATGTTGAAGAAAAATTATTCGGAGGTTTATATTTTGATTTATAAGCACGTATTATAGCACGATCATGTGGAATTAAATCAGTTCCATCAATAGAACCAGCCATTTGAGGATCATAAAATCCCCATTGAAAACATGTTTTTCGATACATTATCTAGAAAAAAAACATAAACTTACTATTAATTCATCTGGATGAGAAACAGGTGCAATTGAATATGTTGAAAGTTTAGGAGTCGATAATGATGATGTATCATTTCGTTCATAATAGATTAATTGAGCAGGAGAATCCTGAAATATTTGTTATTTCTATTACAAAATTTCATTTAATTTAAAAATCTACTTGTTCAACACGTAATTTAAGTCTACCACCAGTTGGACAATTGAAAAATGTATCACTTTGAGTCAATTGACGTGGAGGACCATCAGCAAATGGTCGAACTCGTTCAATTAAATCATTTAAATTACTATCAATACGAGCTTTTATTTCAATATTTCGAGGCATTCTTTTATAAAATAATGGTATATATATATATATTCGAAATCAATTTAAAACGAAATATATATACTACATCATGATAGAGGTATAGTTAGTTAAGAAAAGGGTTCGCTAGTTATCACTAAAAATCGAAAACTAATTCGTGAAATTAAATATAGATATTTTTTATTATGTCTACACTTATAGGAGATCTTTTATAGGCGTACTTACTGAACCCTTTATTCAGACACAGGTGCTGTGCGTGCGCGTTAATCATGTGAATGAGTCTAAAGGAAAATAAATGCTGCCGATGAAATTCATTTTCAATATGAATTAACTATTAAAAAAATAAATCACAATTTTTTTTCCAATAAAACAAATATATATTTATTTTTAACAAAAATTCGTTTGTCTTAACTATTTTTTATCTTTTATTCCTTGATAAAATCCTGTATGATAACCAGCTAAATACCATGACATTAATGTTGAAGAGAGTGTATCATTGTTATCATTTGAATTTAATTCTGGAAAAGGAGGAAGAAGTGGCGCAGGTGGTTGTGGAACTGAAGTTAGTGTTTCTTGTTCATCATCGATTAATACAGATTCTTGTTGTTGTTCATCTTCTGTTCGTACTTGTAAATCTGTTAATAGATGACTTTCTTCATTTCCATAATCATCAAATAAAACCGTACATGACGAAGAGTCAATATTAATAATTGTTGCTTTATACAAAAGTCCATCTTCAGTATATGGACATAAACATAAATCTCCAACTTTCCATGTAAGATTTTCTGAAGGTATTGAAGAATTCTCTTCTACTTCATTTGGCGAAATACTTTAACATAAATTAAAATAAAACATTCAAGTATTGTTTTCGTCTTACTCTACTTCAATTATTGGTGCTGGTTGTTGTTCGATAATTTGAAGAAGTTTATCAGATGAAATTGCTTTTGCAAAAGAACGACATAGAAAAAAATCATCAGTAATTGGATTAATTGTCTTCACAATATTACTTGAACTTGTCATCTAAAAAAATTAATAAACATAAAATTAATTTATTCTAACGCTGTTTTATACTTGTAATCATTGAATAAGTATCATATTGAACATAAAAGAAAGTTAAACTAGTTGTAGATAGTTTATTAGTACAATATAAAAATACATGATCACCATACTGTTCGAAAAAAGAAAAACAGAATCTGAATTAATTAGATAAAATAATAATGAAACAAATTAAATTTGATCACGATAAAATGCTGCACGATCTGTATCGATATGATTTGCTAATCTTTCTAGATAATTTCTTCTTTTGTCATCGTTAATCTTTTTTTCTTTCCATAATTGACATAACGCTAACATACACCATTTATTTTCGGATTCAATTTCATCAAGTTCTTCTAATGGTTTTATATGTTCAGTTTCAGTTATTGATTCAACACCTAATTGTTTAAATAATAACCAACGAAGATAAAACCAAGCCGCTTGATCAGAACAATCGGTATAAACAGCATTTAATACAAGTTCCCATTCTTTTAATAAAAGATTCGAACGACGAATTGGATTATGATCAAGAAGTTTATCAAGATATTTCGAACGATAATGCCATGCAGAATAATTTGATAAATTATTACCAATTGTTGAACGAAGAAATGTTAATTCATTATCATAAAATGTTTCGATATCCGATGATGATGAAGGACAAAGATGTTCAAGAAGATAATAACGATATGCCCAACAATGAAAATTTCGTTCATCAATTTCTATAACAAAACAAAAGACATTTTTTTGCTGAAACTTAGGACATCTAGAAACGCTATATTATCGTGTAGTGAATGTCGTTCGAATAATTTGATTTTTTTTAACCGTTAGTCTTTACTGTGTAGGGATAAGCAACTACGAAAGAATCAGATTAATTCATCGACATGAGAGCTCGAAAACTAAACAGTACGTTGAAGACTGTATAAGAAGTTAAAAGTTATTACTAGCTATTAAAGTCGGGAACCTAAACGATGAGTACAAGTATCTGAGTGTGGGTGAGGGTGCTGATTTAGAAAAATAACATCGATAAATTTCTGTATCCAGGTCGATTCATATTTGCCTTGGCCTTCTTTATTTTCGTCGATATTAATTTTCTGTTTTTTTTTACAAAATCAGCGCTGAAAACGGTGTGTAGTAGCTCGTTCAATTCGAAAAAAGACTTGATCGGCGAAATATCGCGTTATGTGGACAAGCCGATTTTCCATTTTATTACGCGAGTAAGTCAATGTGAAACTAACCTAAAAACTTTTGACATAATTGTAATTCATTTTGATAAAGATTTAAATCAAAATTTTCTTTTAATTGTTTTAAACACCATTGTCTTTGATTCCAACATGAATATGATTTAACATTTGATTTAAGACATAATTGTGTAATTTGTAATTCTTTTTGTAAATATTCTTTTTGTTTATCATTATCTAATTTAAGAATGACTTCACGTCGAATATTCCAAAGTGTAAAACAATCTGGATGATTAATCAGTGTATTTTCTGTTTGTTTTAAAAGTGCAAATAAATCTGTTAATTGACGATTATTTAATATACTTTCATATTCTGTTAAATATAATTGAAGTTTTTCAGCTCGTTCACGTTCTCGTGCAGCTTTTTGTTCAGCAGATGTTCGAATTTTAACTTGTCCGTGTACAGGCATCTACAAATTAAATAACCTTACCGTTATAAAACATGCAAAGAAAAAAAAAGAAGATGATATATATGTATTTCTTATGTCTTTCTCGTTGATGTTTATTGTTTTAGAAATAAAAATCGAAACAATAATAATAATAAACACACAAAATATTCGAAGAATATTGTTCGGTTGTGTGTAAAATTCCGAATGATTTTATAAACGACGACCACGACGACCACCTTTTCGTCGAGTACTATCAGATGGAATTGGTGTTACATCCTCTATAATAAAAATATATATATATATTTATGATTTCTTAATCAAATAGAAAACAAACCAATTCGGCCAATTTTAATGCCAGAACGTGCAAGAGCACGAAGTGCTGATTGAGCACCAGGTCCAGGTGTTTTGGTTTTATTTCCACCAGTTGCACGAAGACGAACATGTAATGCAGTTATGCCTAAACCTCGACAACGTTCAGCTACATCTTGTGCAGCTAACATAGCAGCGTATGGTGAAGCTTCATCACGATCTGCTTTAACTTTCATTCCACCAGTTACACGTGCAATTGTTTCTCTAAAAAAATATAATCTTTATCTAATTAAATATTCTAAATATTAACTTACTTTCCTGAGAGATCAGTAACATGAACAAAAGTATCGTTGAAACTTGCATAAATATGAGCAACACCAAAGTTAAGCTCACCTTCAGCAATTTGTGGACCTAAACTAACTTGTTCTACTTTAGCTACTGCTTGACCTTTTCGTGGACCCATATTAGATTAATAACCAATAGAGAAAGATAATGATCTACAAAGAGAATAACTAAATAATTTAAAATTTATTGCCATATAGTTCAATAGATAGGATGGATATCTCTGAAAAAAACATATGAAGCAAAATAAATAAGATGACTCTTACATTCATATTTATTTCCACCAATAATTGAATAATATGAAATACATTTTTGAATTCTCTTATTTTCTATTTTAATTTTTTTTCTAAACATTTTTTTTAATTTAAAATAAAATTTTAATAATAATTAAGATGTTTTCTTAACATCATAAAGATGTCGCTACTAGTACAATTTGTTAATAAATTATTTTAATAATTTTATTTCTATAAAAATATTTCAAAGAAAATTATATTACATATTTTTTAATAGAATTTTTTCCATGAATCTATTAGATGATTCGAATGACAAGTATTGATAGGATTGGCTTGAATCAACCAATAATCTCGGAATTAAACTGGAACAATGCCGTGCAAAAAAAACATCGATGAAGTTCATTCTTGTCTGAAGAAAAAAAAATGTCATCATCGAATGAAAATATTGTTCTATCAGCTATTGGAACTCGAACAGTATTAAATCTATTATGTAAACTATTATTTCGTTTTCTACATTTTTTTCTAAACGCCCTTATTTTTCGTCAAATTGATGGTAATATAATCGGTATTGCTAATGTTCGTCTACAATTACTTTATACAACGATATTATTTCTATCACGTGAAGCATTTCGTCGTACAGTACCAAAATTAACTGATATACGTTCAGTTCAACTTTATATTAATTTGATATGGTCAATTGTACCTGTTGGATTATCAATAATATCATTATCATTACCATTTATATTATTTATTAATACGGATAATGCAGAAAAATATCCTTATTATTATCATGCATGTTTCTTTTATGCTTTCGCAGCATTTATTGAGATATTATCTGAACCATTTTATTTATTAGCAACAGTTACACTTAATTATCATATTAATATATATATTGAAATGTTTGCATCAACGATAGGATTTACACTTCAAGCTTTTTTAATATATAAGAATTCGGAATCTGCACTTTATTATTATGGTTTTGGTTATATTATCTATTCATTATTGATAACATTAAGTTATTATATATATTTTTTAACTCGTCAAAATGGTGAACGTCATCGTTTATTTTTAATAACATCATTTAAAGATTTATTGATAAGACCAACATCTCCATATGTTGATTACAAATTATTTAGTGAAACGAAAACATTTTTTTATCAAGGTATATGGATGAAAATATTAACGGAAGGTGAAAGATATATTATGTCAATATTTAATCTTGTTTCTTATAAAGATCAAGGAATATTTGATACAATAAATAATCTAGGTTCACTTTTACCACGTCTAATTTTTTCAACATTAGAAGAAAGTGCTTATGCATATTTTCAACAAACATTACAAAGAACAAAAACAATTAATGATGAACATATTCAAGATGATGAAATGTTAGTAAAACCAAGAAAAGACGAACAAATTAATGAAGTACCACCATCACCAACAGGTAAAAATCAGTCATAGTAATCGTTGAGTTTGATATTTATACAGAAGACACATAAGAGTTTCTGTACGTACATTGATCCAAATCGAATGTCAATTGAATTTAAAACATACTAGATTAATTTTTTATATATTTTTAGAACAACAAACAATAAGATTAAATGCATTGACATTTTACAATTATTTACTTCGTTTTGTAATTATAACTTCACTATTAGTAATAACTTTTGGTATACCATATTCTCGATTTCTTCTTAATCTCTATGGTGGTTCAAATTTAATCGAAGGTCCCGGTCCATTACTTCTTCGTTTATATTGTATCTATATTTTATTTCTTGCTATAAATGGTATAACTGAAGCATTCGCTCAAGCAACAATGTCAATAAAACAATTAGAAGATTATAAATATTTAATAATGAAATTTGCAGCAACCTATCTTGTTTTATTTTATATTCTAATTAAATCTATTGGTATACATGGAATAATTATAGCTAATTGTTTAAATATGTTAGCACGTATAATAACAAATTCACTTCATATTTATCGATATTTTCATGGTATTCAATGGTCAAAACCATATCAATTTTCTTCTTCTTATTTAATTCTATTAAGTTTAACATCATTTATTTGTTATTATAGTGAAAGTTGGTTTAGTAATTCATTTATACATTTTGGTTTTGGTTCGATTTTAGGTTTAGGAATATTATTTTTCACATGGAAAGAAGAAAAAGAAATGATTCATTATATTTATTGTATTTTACGATTAAATCGAAAAAAGAAACATTCATAGAAAGATTTATTCTTTTTATTTTATATACTCTAGAGTTTTCTTTTTTTTTGCTTCAGATGTTATATAAAACAAGTGAAGAAAAATCTACTGAATATAATTCTACAATTGATCAAGAAAATGAAAATCAAGGTGAAATTATTGTTTCACGAAGTAGTAGTCAATCAATACAACATCCATTACCTGATAAACGTGAAGCATTACGTTTAAATAATTTGCCATCAACAACATTATGTGCATATGTTAATCATAAAGTAACATTATGTAAACCAATAACACGATCAAAAGCAGTATCATGTGCACCTATTACATTTAATCGTGCAACACAAACATTATTAGATGATGAAACACCACCTATTAGTTTATTACCAATACCAGTTGGACTTGTTACACCATTACCATTAGCATTAGGTACAACAGATTGTCCTGTACCTGTACCTGTACCAATACCAGTACCATTTCCTTTATTTTTTGTTGTTAATGACCAAAAATTTCAAGATTATGGAACATATTTACAGAAATTAAAAGAAATTATACCAACAAATGACGAAGATATTGAATTATTAGTTTATGCACAATCACTTTTTCCAAATGATGATCTACTTGGTTTAGGAAAATTTAATCCTAAGGTAATTTTTATCTATAGATAAATCGATCGGTAAATCTACTAGAATTTTGTCCGCTCTCGCTCTTTTCGGGCTTATAAGAGACGAATGACTACCCATTTGTTAAATGACTTGATAGCAGGGTACGGCGGTTTCAAAAAAATGGAACCGAACCGGAACCGCGGTTCCAATTTCGGGTAATTTTTGGAACCGCTATACTCTACTTGGTAGAATATGAAGCTGACAATCCATTTAGTTAGTCTCAATACATCACACTGCTTAGATCTTCCTCATACGGGTAGTTCCAATCGGCGTCGCAATCATTCGGAGATTGTAAAAAACAATCTTAAATAGGTCAAATGTTTCATAGTTATTAGAATTATCTGATTGATTCTTCTATTCAAATATATGAATAACAAATTTTTTTTGTTTAGAGTTCATTATTAGATGAAGTTGAAACAGAAGAAATGCATATTGTTGGTAGAACATCAAATGAAAATAATCAAATTGAACAAGAATTAACAACGGGAGATAATGTTTTAAATAAATTAATATTTGATTTTGAAGATTTTGATTTATCAACAATGGCATTAACAAGTGGTGAACAAAATATGAATACAAATACATCTGAAAAAATTGAATATTTAATGAGACAAGAAGATGCGAAATATATTCTTAAATGGCATTTTGGTGTAAAACTTTTTCGTGCATGGATTGAAGATAAAAATGAACCAATAAAACAAAGATTATTTCAACGTAAGAATTGTTTTTTTTTGAGTTATTTTGTTTATCTAATTTTAATATAAAAAATAGAATATACACGTACACGAAATATATCATACAATGATGTGGAAAATCGTTTATCAAAACGTCTTTATCGATCTGATCCATTGTTATATCGTGCTGATGAATTAAATACAGCACTTTGTCTTTTTTTAAAAGAACGTCGAGATTTATATGATGGTGATTCAATATATTATCTTTGTTTGGGTATTCAACATTATTTACGTGAAAATCGTTCATTATCATCACAAACAACACGTCGTTTAAATGAAGGACATTTTTATCGTACAGAATCATTATTTTTTGATCCAACATTTCTACAATTTCAATCTAAACTTCATTCAATACTTGCACGATTCTGTCATCATCGTGATCCATCAAGACCATTATCAATGCGTGGTGCAACATCATCAAATATCGATGATCGTCCATCACGTATTGAAGAAGAATTATTATGGGAAGCGAAACAATTAGGTGCACATACACCATGGGTTTTATTAAATACAATTTTATATTTTAATACAAAATATTTTTTTCTTAAAACTGTTAATGAACATCAAGTTTTGTCGTTTTCAAATGTTAGACGACATCATAAAAGAAATGTTGGACCACATGGAGAAGAATATGGAAAATCGGTTTATTTAAGGTTAGTTAAAATTATACTAGACAAAATCAGTCATCGTTCTAAAAGTTAAAGCTTTGTTCGAATTTGATGTATGAAGTATGAAAAACCCCAAAAGGATAAGTGCCTATGGGCCTTCTGTCCCGAGTTATAGGCAATATACTGAAATTTTCGTATATGGCAGGGTATATAGGAATAAATCAAATGACTGTATTTTGACCCGAGATTTTGCCGACAGAGTGGTCTATTAATGACTAAAATGCCCTGAAAATTTCAGCTTAAAAGAACGCTTCCTTCTCGAGATATTCTAGTCCCATATAGACCTCTCTGTGGGCAAAATCCCAGGTCGAAATACCGTCATTCGATTTATATCTACATACTCTGCCATAGACTAAAATTTCAATATATTGCCTATAACTCAGGACAGAACGCCTAAGGGCACTTATCCTGAGGTTCCCTCGTTAGTTTGCCTTTCCGAAATTTTTTCGCCTTTTACTATGTGTTTATTTGAATAGATATTATCCACCTACAACAACAATCCATGGTATGGAAGAACAACAATTAATCTATGAACAAGCTGAAAATTATGATGATCCACTTCGTTGTCCAGTAAAATTATTTGAATTTTATTTAACAAAATGTCCTGAAAGTGTTAAATGTCGACCAGATGTTTTATATTTATTACCAGAAGCAACATGTGTACCTGAATCACCACTTTGGTTTTCATCGCAACCATTACCTGCATCAACAATGGATCATATGTTAACGAGAATAAAAACTGTACGAGATGTTAATGATATTCATTTATCAATGAGTCAAACATCATTTGATAATAATAATCAAGGACGATCTTAAAAAAAATGTCATGATTTTCTCTCTCTTTTTTTTTCCTTTTCTTCATTGTATTATACTATTTGTTTGTCTTCGTCTCCCGTTATTAGTTTGTAAACAACACAAAGTTAGATATTGAATGTAACATGTCTTGAACTTTTGTTTTTTACATAGAGAAAAAATATTTGTTTGTTTATTGTTAAAAAAAACGACAACATTTGATTTGTCATTTTGGTTTTTGTCTCTCACTTAATTTTGTTGATCAGAAAAAGAAACAGATTGTATCTATTGTGTATCTATATATATTAATCTTCATTTATCTTATTGATTAAACTACAAAAAAAAAAATTTCAATAGGCAAAAATGAAAATATATTTAATTGAGTTTATATATTTGTTTTCCTATTGGTTTTCTATAGAAGTTTGATTAGATTCTAATGGAATACGAATCATTTTTCCATCAGGTAAAATACAATAACGTAAATATTTGAACGAACATGATTGATTAATATTTTCTAAAGGTTTTGGTAATTCTCCCACACTATACCAACAAGGTGAAAGTGATAGATGATACAATTGCGGGAGTATTTCAGGTCGAATTGAAATTAATTGATTATTTGTTGGTTTTTCTATATGTAAATATCGTAGATTAATTAATTTTGATAAATCTAAATCATCATTAGAAAATATTGTTAAACGTAATGAAACAATTTGATTGGCAAAATGTGAAAAAGATTTCATATGAAATATATCTTTTGAAGGTATATCAATATAAAAATGAGCAGAATTTATAATTTTATTTATTCGACGATGATTAAGTAAATAAAATGCCAAATAAACATCAATTAAACGCATATAATTTTCAAATAAATCTAATAAAATTTCATTGGGTAATTGTTCGAAATATCCAATTAGTCTACTTGTATTATTCATTTAATTAATTTGATATGTAGACAGAAGAGAAGAAAAAAACCAGTCTATTGCGTACAATCTTCATTCGTTTTATTTTATCAAGGATGTTTGTCATATTTTCTGTTTTCTTTTCTTTTCTTTTCTTTTTATCCAATAAAAATAGAAAAAAAAAAGCACATAGTTTTTATAATCGAATCATAAATAAATAAGAAATTATTATTTAGTGTGTCTATATACTAAGAATGAAAATTATTTCTATTTATTTCATGATAAATAAATAGGATTTTGTTCTGGTTATTTTCTTGATATGTTGTGTTTATTTTTTCACAAATACTAAAATTACATTTACAATTAAACGGCAAACGTTTCAAAAGTATAATAAATATTAACTTTGACAATTGAATAATGTCTAAGATGCAATAGAATTTATACAAGATTTTGACTCAAATGAAAAAAAATGTACTTTAAACTAATTACTATTACATAATAATTTTATGAGCAAATGAATATCGAAATATTATTTAAAAAAAAGATATAATGAATCTGTTTATTTCATGAGTTTGAATATCTGTTAGTTACCCAGATTCGCATGGTTTTTCACTAATACTTGGCACTTTTACATCTATAAATACATATCTTTCAAAGAATTTATATTAATACGTCATGAATGATAGATGTGGTAACATCAAGGGACATGGTTTTATTAACACAAATAAGAACCATAAGATGTTATAAATGAAAGATCGAGAATATGATCTTAAAGTCAAATTTTAACAAAGAAAAAGTAGATCAATATTCAGCTATGCACAGATACTTCAATAGAAGTATTCGATAGATCTTCTCTATCCATTTGTTTTCTTTCGTTGAAATCCATAATTGTATAGAAAAACAGATAAGTTAAATAATGACATTTTGTTTTACGCATCTACATTCATATTACGCTATATATTGATATATTTGTAGATTTACTGTTGCTGTTATTTTCAGATATATCCATCTATGTCATTCATGACCTTACTTCAAAGTGTTTTTGTAAGTGAAATGTTTCAATGATCGTCTGCATTCTAAATTCGATGAATACTATCAAAACAATTAAATCTTATGAAAAATTACTCTGTGTTAAACCAAGAAAACATTTGGAAGGCTAATTAAAATTACCGTATTAATTCTAATTTTTATAAATCATAATAAACTAATATATAAGAGTAGAAAAACATACATATTTTATTTATTTTGGGATCGAATATTAAAGTATGTGATAATCCAATAAAAATATGGAAAGAAACAGTTCACGGACGTCATAAAATGAGAATTCTTCTAACTAAAGTATTGTTTGGAATTTGAACTACGTGTAAGAAAAAGAATAAAATAACTGAAAGTTAATTCGTTTTAAGTAATTAATATAATTCTGCACTATTTAAAATACCAGCATTATTATTATCTCCACCGGTAACTAATACTAGTCCATTTGGTAATATAGATGCTGTGTGATCTCGTCGTGCATTATTCATGTTACTAGTAGCTGTCCAAGTACTTGTTAATGGATCATACAGCTCAGCACTATTTAAATAATTACCACCGGTATCAGCAGCCCCGCCAGTGACTAGTACTTTTCCATTTGATAATACAGATGCTGTGTGGGAACATCGTGTATTATTCATGTTACTGGTAGTTGTCCAAATACCTGCTAATGGATCATACAATTCAGAGCTATTTATAACTGTATAACCGTTGTCTAATCCACCAGTAACTAATATTTTCCCATTTGATAATAAAGATGCTGTGTGATACTGTCGAGTATTAGTCATGTTACCAGTAGTTGTCCAAATACCTGTTAATGGATCATACAGTTCAGTACTTTTTAAAACGCCGTTGTTATCAGCTCCACCAGTAACTAATACTTTTCCATTTGATAATACACATGTTGTGGAACCACCTCGTGCATTAATCATGTTGCCAGTAGTTGTCCAGGTACCTGTTAATGGATCATACAATTCAGCACTATTTAAAGAACTACTACTATTGGCTCCACCAGTAACTAATACTTTTCCATTTGATAACACAGATGCTGTGTGATATTCTCGTGCATTAGTCATATTACCAGTAGTTGTCCAAATGCCTGTTAATG